ACTTGATGGGTTTTTAAAGTAAGTCCTAGTTTTTACATTTTCCAACTTTTTGCTGTTAAAATACAGAAATGCAGTCATTCTGTTTTGAATTTGTATCCACGATCTTGCTAAATTTGCTTGCTCTCGTAGTTTCTTAAAAAATAGATTCTTGGGGCGCCTGGGTGGCGCAGTCGGTTAAGCGTCCGACTTCAGCCAGGTCACGATCTCGCGGTCCGTGAGTTCAAGCCCCGCGTCGGGCTCTGGGCTGATGGCTCAGAGTCTGGAGCCTGTTTCCGATTCTGTGTCTCCCTCTCTCTCTGCCCCTCCCCCGTTCATGCTCTGTCTCTCTCTGTCCCAAAAATAAATAAACGTTGACAAAAAAAATTAAAAAAAGAATAGATTCTTTATGATTAATGTAACCAATAAGGCTGGTTATGAACAGATTGTCTTTTTTTTTTTTAATTTCTCCCAGAGAGAGTGCGTGCATGTGTGCGTGTGAGTGGGTGAGGGGTCAGGGGGAGGGAGCGAGAATTCCTTTTTTTTTTTTAATAATTTATTGTCAAGTTGGCTAACATACAGTGCGTAAAGTGTGCTTTTGGTTTTGGGGTAGGTTCCCGTGGTTCATCACTTACACGTAACACCCAGGGCTCATCCCAGCAAGCGCCCTCCTCAAAGCCCATCACCCACTCTCCCCTCTCCCCCGCCCCCCCATCAACGCTCAGTTTGTTCTCTGTATTTAAGAGTCTCATGGTTTGTCTCCCTCCCTCTCTGTTTGTTAACTATTTTCCCCTTCCCCTCCCCATGGTCTTTTCAGTTTCTCAGGATCCACCTGAGTGAAAACATGGTATCTGTCTTTCTCCAACTGCCTTATTTCACTCAGCATAATACCCTCCAGTTCCATCCACATTGCTACAAAAGGCCAGATTTCATTCTTTCTCATGGGCAAGTAGTATTCGTTGTGTATATAAACCACAGCTTCTGTATCCATCCGTCAGTTGATGGACATTTAGGCTCTTTCCATAATTTGGCTATTGTTGAAAGTGCTGCTACAAACTTTGGGGTTCAAGTGCCCCTATGCATCAGCACTCCTGTATCCCTTAGGTAAATTCCTAGCAGTGCTATTGGTGGGTTGTAGGGTAGTTCTTAATTTTTTTTTAAATTTTTTGAGGAAGCTCCACAGTTTTCCAGAGCGGCTGCACCAGTTTGCATTCCCACCAGCAGTGCAAGAGGGTTCCCACTGAGAGAGAGAATTCCAAGCAGGCTCCACACTGAACTCAGAGCCCAACTCGGGGCTCAATCCCACGACCCTGAGATCCTGACCTGAGCAGAAATCAAGAGTCAGACACTCAACTGACTAAGCCCCCCAGGTGCCCTGATAGTTTTGTCCTTCTGGTCCAATCTTCTAATTATTTATTTTTGCCTTCATGCAGTTGGCCAGGACGTGACGTGCGGTGTCAAATGGGGGGTCGAAAGTGTGCGTCCTTACCCTGTCCCCCGTCTTAGAGGGGAGGGGAGTAGCCAGATGGCCACCATCAGGTATGACGTCTGCGGCAGGTTCCCGAGGGTGCTATCAGTCTGAGGAAGTTCCCTTTCAGTTTGCCAGCATATTTCTCGTGAATGGCTATTTTACTGTGTCCGTTTCTTCCGGCATCTGTGGAGATGACGGTTGTGGCTTTTCTCCTTTATTCTGCTAACGTGGAGTTTACAGATGCTTTTCAAGTGTTAAATTAACGTTGCATCTCTGGATGCACTTGGTCATGCTGTATTATCCTTCTAAAACGTTGCCGGATTCAGTTCGCTAACATTTTGTTCAGAAAGTTTGCATCCGGGGTTGAGGGGAACTGATCTGTAATTTTATTTTTGTCAGATTCTAGTACAGGGTCACACTGGTCTCGTAAGTGAATCAGGAAGTGCTCTCTATCCTGAGACATTTCTGTGGGTTTTCGATATTCCATCCTTAAGAGTTTGTTAGATTCACCAACGAAATCCACAAGGCCTGGGGTTTTCTGAGTGGGAAGGATTTTGACTAAAGTCAATTTCCTTAGTAGATGTAGGACTGTTACTATTATTTTTAAATGCTTATTTTGAGAAAAAGAGAGCGCATGGGGAGGTGGGGGGAGAGACAGAGAGAATAAGCAGGCTCCACAATGTCAGTGCAGAGCTCTGTAAGAGGCTCCATCCCAAAGAACCAGGAGATCATGACCTGAGCTAAAATCAAGACACGTAAGCAACTGTGCCCTCGGGGCTCCCAGGGCTGTTTTCTATTTTTTGCGCTGGTTTCATGAAGGTGTTTCTCAAGAAACGTGTATATTGAATCAACTTTGTTGCCATAAAGTTGCTCATGGTACCGTGTTGGTGTCTATCAGTGAGATCATCCTTTCATGATGTTGATAATTTGCCCCTTTTTTCGTGGTTGGTTTTACTAGACTTCACCAATTACTTTACAGAACCAACTTTTGGCTTTGTCGATTCTGGTTTTCATTTCATTGATTTTGGTCTCATCTTTGGTATTTCCCTCCTTTACTTACTTTGGATTAAACATGGAGGTTTAATTGTGAACCTTTCTTCTAGTAGAGGCTTTTGGGGGCGCCTGGGTGGCTCAGCCGGTTAAGCATCTGACCCTTGGTCTCGGCTCAGGTCACGATCTCACGGTTCATGGGATCGAGCCCCACGTCGGGCCCTGTGCTGAAAGCGTGGATCCTGCTTGGGATTCTGCCTCCCTCTCTCTGCCCCTGCCTCGCTCACATGCGCACACACACTCTCTCAACGTGAATAAACAAGCTTTAAAGAAAAAGAATAAATTACAAAGCCCTTTAAAAAAAATAGAGGCACTTAAAGCTATAGCTTTTCTAAGGACTGCGTTAACTGCATCCCACAAATTTAGTATTTTCTAATTTCCTTTGTGATACTGTTGACCCATAGGTTATTTGGAAGTAATTTTTAATTTGCAACATAATTTCAGTTTGGGGACTTTTAGGCAATTACTGCTGTTGATTTCCAGTTTAAGTTTTGGTATGGTCTGAGAACATATTCTGTAAGATTTAAATTTTTTCACTTATTTTATGGTCCAGCACATGGTCTAGCTTGGTGAACACTCCACGTGCACCTGAAAAGAAGGGATATTCTGCTATTGTGAGGGGTAACGTATAATGCCAGGTCTCGCTGGTGGACGGTGGGGAACGTTCTATGTGCTTGCCAATGTTTTGGCCACCGGTTCTGTCACTTACCGAAGAGAAGGGTGTTAACGTCTCCCAACTACCGTGGACGCGACCATCTCCTCCTATGGTTCCTCCACGTTTCCCTCAAGGGTCTCGAATCTCCATTAAGTACTCTCAAGGATTATTACATGTATGAATTAATAATGGCATCACTATGAACTGAGTTGCCTTTTCAGCACCACGCACACTGTGTCTGTACCTTGAGTTGGAGGCTGTTTTGTCGGACACGCATAGCGGTATGCACCCCACCCCCGCCCACTGCCCCCGGGCTCTTCTCCCGGGTGTTTGTATATTTAACGTGCATCTCTTGTAGATGATGTGCCTGGTGGTCTCTTGCGTCTTCTCTTCTTCTAAGGACACCTGTCACTGTATTTAGGGCCCTCCTTCCCTAAGCCAGGATGACCTCATCTGGAGATCTCTAGGGCCACCCCCACAGCCTCTGGGGGCAGGGCCTCAGAAAGGGCCGCTTCTCAGCCTAGTTCAGCCACTGTTGCATCTTTACAAGCTCTTTCTGAATATTTTCACAAGAGCCCGGCAAGCAGCCTGGATGGATATTCCCTGGGCTGTTCTGGGCCCAGCAGTGGAATGCCCTTCACAGCCACCAAACCAACCCGGCATGAAGGAACGCCCTCCGCTTTATAGGGGGCCGGCCCCGTGGCCTCACCCAGGGCCTCGGGCCCCCTCTCTAGTCCAGGGCACAGAAACCCAGAGCTCTGGAGTCCCTGTGCGCGCTTGGGGTCACGTACAGCTGAGCGGCGGCTCACAGATGAGCCTCTCTGCCTCACCTCCTGGGGGCCCCGTGGCGTTGCTGTAAGAAATACAAATGCTTCCAGGCACTGGAGACAGCAGGGCAACTCTGCCTGGCTTTCTATCCACACCCTCCTCAGCCACGGGGAGAGAGCACCCCTTCGTCTTCCTAAGGGATCTTCTAGGAATGGACAGAAGTCATGCACTTTTAATTCCGACGTTACGATCACATCCAATACCAAGGCTGTATTTGAGAGCAGCCGGTGTTCACATCTTCGGAGAACAAATCACCAAGACCAGTGATCATCTTTAACTTCAGCAGTAAGTTAAAGTGGGGCAAGACTTGGTCGGCGTTGTGGAGCCGTGCCAGCACCCAAAAGCAAGCTTTCTCTCCCGTTGTCTGAAATACAGCTGGAGAGCTGAAGCTGTAATAGACTGGCTTCTACTACAAGATAAACACTTTTTTGGTACCAACTGAATTCAGGTTCCTGAAGCCAAGGCAAGGAAGGCATTGTCTGCTGAATGAATTCCAGCTCATTTGGGGCTCTCCCACAACACCTCAGTCATCGTGGACCCTCTTCAGGTCACCGAGGAAATACCGAAGGCACAAAGCGCCCTTTCCATTTCAACAAGCCCCACTGGCCACTCTATCACTGTCAAGTAAGATCTTGGAAATTATCACCAACAATAAAGGAAATGAAACGCCTGCATTAGAACAACTTGATGGGTGCTCGGAAATAACAGCAAATCCAAAGGGGTCCTGTCTTATTTCACAGATCTCTCCCACCGGTTAATGTTGGATAAAGAACGAAAACAAGACCTCAGTCTTTAATTTTTTTTTTTTTCAACGTTTATTTTTTTATTTTTGGGACAGAGAGACAGAGCATGAACGGGGGAGGGGCAGAGAGAGAGGGAGACACAGAATCGGAAACAGGCTCCAGGCTCTGAGCCATCAGCCCAGAGCCCGACGCGGGGCTCGAACTCATGGACCGCGAGATCGTGACCTGGCTGAAGTCGGACGCTTGACCGACTGCGCCACCCAGGCGCCCCAAGACCTCAGTCTTTAATAAAGGAATTTACTGTTGACAAGGTGAAAACGCCTGGTCACGTGGGGACGGACATTAATTCATGTGTGTTTCTGACAGGATTTGACCGCAATCTTCCATGTGTTTGCAAAAGCAGAATTCAACCTCCCACGCTTTGTTTATGGCCGAGTCTTCCTTCTGGAAGTCGGGAGCACACCCCCTTCGTAAGCATAGTCATGGGGGCATGAGCCCACCTGGCTGTTCTCTGTACCACCTTCCCAGAGCACCCCAAAATCTGGGTCAGTGGTCTGGACCTTGCAAAACGCTTAGGTCCTGTAGACCCAGCCCGGGGCCTGGTCAAAGCTTTCGTCTGGAGATCCTGTAGATGCTACCTGAACTTGGCCAGAGACCCTCTGAGACCTCTCAGGGTGAGTGAGGTCCAGCACAGTGTCTGATTCCAAAAACCCAGGGCAGAGTCCAGCAGGCCCCTCCGCGGCTGAGCTCGTGGCGGGTCCACGGGGGACAGGCCACGGGCCCTCACACGGTGCGTCAGGCGGGTGCCCCTCCTCAGCCCATAACCATACCGGAACCCTCCCTGTTGGACCCTGAGAGAATGAAATCTCAATGTTATAGTACAAACGTATAAAAGGTCTTTTTCTGCAAATGTGTAGTTATTTAGAGCTAATGAGATCATCTTCGGTTAAATAATAAAGCACCTCCCACAGACATGTCTGGCGTGCAGTCCACATGCAGACAGGTGAAACGTACGTTAAGGTAAATGGCGGCAACTTCACCGGAAGACGAGGTTGTGTGTGCTATTTTAGACAAAAGTTTTCATCCGTGATCTTTGGTAGAAAAGTTTCTCTAGGTTTCTTCATTATAAGAATTTCGCCTTAAATCCAGATCCTGCCTCAGTGAGCCCAACCCCTGTGCGCACACCTTCATCGCATTGTCCCCTCCCTGTCCCCTTTTGGGTCACCTGCTCTGATGGGGAGAGCAAGGGCAGGCACAAATCCGTTCAACCACAAAGCGGTCGTTTAAAAAACACCTCCTCTCGTGAACTTGTCTGGCAACAAGAAGCCAACCGAAGGCCGTAGGTCTCCTGTAAGCCTGATGCTTAGAATGTATTCATTGAATGAAGTAGAGAAGGCAGAACCAGAGAAATGACGTCTGCAGGTCGTATGTGATCTGGCTAATTCCCTTCCAACCGGCTCCGGCGCTCGCTCTTGGTCATGGGTTCTGGAACCTTCTAGACAACACTGGGTAACTTCACAGAGGTTATTAGCAAGTTGATGCATCCGCCTGCCTGAGAAGCACCCCAACCCGAAACACCGTTGGCACAGTTTAATCAGGAAAGTGCGAGAGAGAAAGTGCGTTATGCGTCAGGAGGCCGAGGAGCCAAACGGGCACGTGCAGGGGACACGGCGGTGCCCCCACCCCCGGCCACCTTCTCCGGGGAGCGCCGGCGAGGGGCGGAAGGCACGCGGCCCTCAGAACACAGCCCGGCTCGGCACGTTCACCCACGTTTACTCGACTTTCCAGATGGCGATCTTCCCCTCCGCGCTGCCCGACCCGCTCAGCACGTATCTGTCCTCTGCCGAGCACAGGGTCTTTACCGCGTCCGTGTGGGCCACCAGCTCCTTTTCCACCGTCTTCCTCTGGGCGTCGATCACATAGATTTTCCCTTTGTACTTCCCCTGTGACCGGCCCGTGCCGCCTACCCAGATCTGCCAAGGAGAGACGTAGGGGGCGTCGGCCACACGCCGCCGGGCCTGGGCGGGGAGACCCCTGTGCGCCCCCAAATCCAGTCCTTCCCGGACCGGCCTCGAGGGCAGGGCAGGAGCCGGAGGCGGCGGGGCGGGGGGGAGGGGGGGTGCTCCGGGGAGGCGTGGCCCCGGCCGTACCTGCTTCTTCACCCTGATCATGCAGCTGACCTCGGCGCAGTCCTGCAGGTGGACCCGCTGAGGGGGCCGGGCCAGGTCCCTGAGGCTCCAGATGTAGACGCCGTCCAGCCCGGCACACGCCGCCCACAGCTGCTCCTGCTGAAACGGGAATCACAGTGTGGCTGGTGGCCGCGCCCGCTCCGCTGTGCCGCCGGAGGGCGCTGCCGGGACGGGTACCTCGGGGAGGAGCTGGAAACCCAGGAAGGAGGTGCTCGCGTCCTTAGAGTTCTCCTCCGCCTTCAGTTCCTGACGAAGAGATCCACCTGTCGTCACGACCACGATGCCGCTACCTGTGCCTGAGGAGCAGAAGAGCCAGCGTGAGGGAAGGCGGGTGCCCCGGGGCCGCCGGAAGGGTCAACCGGCTGCCGCCCGGTGCCGGCTCGGGCGCTGGCACGCTGCTCCCAGGACCCCGGTGACCCGTCCGCCCCGCGGCCCCTCCTGAGGCTTTGCAAATGCGGACGTTCCGGGTCTCCTCCTGTCACTAGAAGGTGCGGCCTGCCCTCACCCTGTCGGCACTTAGAACTATAGGGGACAGCGCCACAGGCCACTAAGTGCTTCCGTTTACGGCTCAAGGAAAAGGTCGTCTTGCAAGCCAAGCGTCTGCACGTCCCGAGAGCTGTAGGTCACCAGGCTCCGGGCAGCGGGGAACGTGGAGACACCGGCTGCGGGGCAGCCCCGGACACGGAGGGACGGAAACGCCGCGAAGCCCGTCCTCGTCTTCCGTGCTTCCTGCTCGGCCGCCCGCCCCCGGCGCTGCGGCCACCGGGCCAGCCTCGCACACAACGGGGGCAGGAGGGCACAGCAGCCCGTGAGGTGGAACGTGGGAGCGGCCCCGGGCTGTGCCACTCCGGCTTCCCGTCCCCTGCGAGCGGACCACAGGACCCCCGGCACTCGGCCTTGACACACAGGGACCCCTGCCGGCCGTGGCCACCCCAGGACCGGAAGCCCAGCTGAGTTTTCAGTCATGGAAGGTGCGAGCTGCCGTCACATCACCTTCCTGCTTCTAGGCTCCGTTCGGTGTGGTTTTTCTGAGACCTAATAAGCAAAGAAGCAAAGCCTCATCCACGGGGAGCCTGACAGCCAGAAACCCTCACCTACTTGGACTGAGCCGTGAGGCCCCAGGACACCTGCTGCTGGCTGGGAGCACCTGGGCTCACCCTGTGGATAGGCACTTCTGTCCCCCTCCCCAGAGCCCTCCTCAGTGCACTGGACGCGTGGCCCCAGGAAGCGGCCCCGGCAGAATGAGCCCCGGTATGTGAAGCTGGCGTGGACAGAAGAGGCTGCCGTCACCAACGCTCAGCGCGCCAAGGACCGTGCGCCAAGGACCGTGGCTCTCGAAGGGGAGGGTGGGATTTCTATCTCACTTTTCTTTCTGAAGTTTATTTTATTTTGAGAGGGAGCAAGGGTGAGCACAAGTGGGGGCGGGGCAGAGACAGAAGGAGAGAGAGAATCCCAGCCGGGCTCTGAGCTGTCAGCATTGAGCCCTTATGGGGCTCGAACTCACAAACAGCAATCATGACCTGAGCCGATATCAAGAGCCGAATACTCCACCAACTGAGCCCCCCAGGCACCCTCTCTAGCTCACTTTTTTTACTGTTTATTTTTGAGAGAGACAGAGTGAGAGCAGGGGAGGGGCAGAGAGAGAGGGAGACACGGAATCCGAAGCAGCTCCAGGCTCCGAGCCGTCAGCACAGAGCCCGACGTGGGACTCAAACCCACGAACCGCAAGATCATGACCTGAGCCGAAGTCGGACGCTCAACCGACTGAGCCACCCGGGCGCCCCTCTAGCTCACTTTTCCAATGAAGACACACACTCCCAAGAGCCCGTGAGGGACCTGCCCAAAGTGATCAGCTGCCCAGAGACCAAGCCCGGATTTGAACCCGGACGTGCCTACCCGAAGGCCACAGCCTGAGCCACGGGTGCGCCAGCAACCTCAAGGTGCAAACGTCCGCCTGCAGGTGTGGGACTGGGGTCTACTCCCCACCTAGGAGATGACCTGGGCACACGGCGTGGGCTGCTTCCCCTGCAGCCCCGGGGGTAGACACGAAGGTCTCACATGGTGCTACTGGGCTAGAACATTCCGGCCCTTCAGGCTCACGATCTTCCAGGTTCCGCCTCAGTGCACACAGATGTCCCGAGTTTACACAGACACGGACACAGGCCCGGCATGTGTACTGGTAACATGTGATGAGCGACCCAGATTTCTGCTTGTGACTCTCGTTCAGGGACAACACTTTCCAGGCACGTGCTCTCTGTTGCCTCAAGAAACTCTGCGTTTGTCTTGTACTTTTCTCGTTGTTGTTAAATAGGAAAACTGCTTACCGTGTTCAGTTAACTTGGAAGGTAAAAGGGATCCTGTCCTTAGAGCAAAGCTATCTGTCCTCACTCTAATCTGTTACCTCCCTCCCTGCATTTAACAGGCACCTTTTAGCCCAAGGTCTGGTCAGCTCTGAGTCCAAAATGCATCCAGGGGTGGGTGGTGCACGCGTGCACGCGCACACACACACACACACACACACACACGACAGCCCGTGGAGATCAGCGAGAGCTGAGGCCTACGATCCTTGAAAGAAAAGAAACGCCAGGTTTTCCCTAAAGGTACTTCCCGGTTCTTTGTGGGACGCCGAGGAAAGGTGTTCTAGCGTATGCTGCAGTCCGCCATGGCCGAGGGCACGGCTAGGCTGCCAGTGTGGCTGGAAAGAGAGGGAGGGAACACCCCCCAACGAGGGAGCCCAAACATCTATGTAAAAATTCTCAGATCCTTGGCCCGGGAAGAGACCTACTTCAACGCTGTAGCTTATCTAGCTGGGAAGGCCCGGTGTGTGTGCCTCGGGCATTTCCCTGAGACCCTCAAAGAGCCATGCGTATAAAATTAAGACTACACCAGAACGAAGCGTTATGTACTCTAGGAACAAGGTCAAAACTGCAATGTATCGACCAAAGAAAAACCTAAAAGGAAGCCTCTACACAGGCTCAAGATGATGGGCCAGTCATTTAGCGACCTTCCAGGATAAAATAATGCTCTTTAAAGGCGGCTTTAACCCAGAGTCTCTTTGATGTGTCATCCACAACACCCAGGACACAACAAAGTCCCTTTACACCCCAAGCATGAAGGCAGCCCTACAACTCAGTAGAAAAGCCGTGAACGGAAGCAGACCCACAGATGCCCTGGGACCCGGCAGAGGACTTCTGACTGCAAACAAATGTCATAACTTCCAGGAAAGTATAAAGAGGACGCACGGGCACAAAGAATGTAGAAGAGAAATGTAGGTTCTTTAAAAATGTAAAATACATGAACCTCTCGGACTGAAATGAAAAGTTGCCGGACAGGTTCAACAGCAGACAGGACAGAGGAAGCTTTAGGTCTTAACCGAACTGAAGCTGAGAAAAACATGAAAAAAGTACAGCCTGAGACAGGTGGGGTGTTATCGAATGGTCTAATGTGTATATTAGAATATATGTCTTATATTCCAATATAATTCTAGAATGAATACACACACACATGTATATAAACAGAATCCCAGGGGCGCCTGGGTGGCTTATCGGTTAAGCACCCGACTTTGGCTCAGGTCATAATCTCGCGGTTTGTGAGTTTGAGCCCTGCCTCAGGCTCTCTGCTGTCAGCCTGGAACCGGCTTTGCATCCTCTCTCTCTCTCAAAAATAAACATTAAAAAAAAAGTCAGGATCCCAGAAGACATGGAGAAAGAGAAGGGATAAAGGAGATACTCGAAGAGACAACGGTTCCAAGTCTCCCCCACTGAACGTAAAGAGCAAGCAAGACAGACACGAAGGCCTCCCGCCTGAGCACAGCGTAGCCCAACTCCCGAAAGCAAAGAACGGCCCGCAAGCAGCCACAGGCAGGTCGTTTCGGCAGAACAGCAGCAGCGACGGTGGGCTTCTCATCAGGAACAGACAGGGCTACGCAAAACTGGAAAGAGACCGCTAGAGTGTGTGGAAAAGATCGGTCTGTTTATAGCCTACTCCGGCCATGAGAAACACTAAGGGGAATGATGCCAGAGGCAAACCAGGCACGAAGCTCCCCCGAAATGGTGACCGTACAGGCCAGCACCAGGGGGTGCGTAAACAAAAACGTTAACGATATTTTCCGAGCTTTATGCCGACGGCAGCATTAAAATACTGCTCTTAACAGCGACAGCCAAAGGGGCGGGAGGAGGTAAATGGAACTGATCATACTCGTGTGAGCTGCGTACGTGATACGTGGAGGGGGGTCCTGGTTGCTTCGGGCCGGCTGTGACAGGTAAGCCTGCGGGTTGCAGTTCTTAGAGCAACCGCTAAAAGGTAAAGCAGAACGCAGAAAATGTGGCGCTAAAAAGAAAAACTGAATGTAAGGAGTTCTCGTTTCCCGCGTCCTTTTCGACGGAGCGACACAGACAGAAGGGGCAGTGGGGCACGGAAAGGCGCGAAGACGACAGAAGCCTCGTGCGCAAGCCTGCTCACGGCGCCGCAGGCGCGCAGACTGACGAGCCCACGTCTCTGCAGGGAGGACACGCGCGGCAGACGAGCACGCGGCTGGGAAAGGCAGGCGGCCCCACGAGGGTGGTTGCGGTACCAAACGCAACACGTTTTGTGGGGACGCGGAGGGATCACGACTGGCACACACCGCGGGCGGGGACGTAAGGTGGGGCGGCAGCTCCCAAGGGGGGTCCGACGCTTTCTCCGAGGGGTAAACGTGGGGTCAACCCGAGCCCGCGCGCTGACACACAGAGACAGGGCCACAGAGGGCTCCCGGAAGCCGCAGACACGGGAGGCGGCAGGCAGCTGAAGACGCGTGAGGCAGAGCAGACCGGCCGCAGGCCGTCCTGGGGTTCCCTCCCCCCGGAGCAGGGCTCTGGGCCCCTCGTGGGGGCAGAGGCTGAGGACTTACAGCACCACAGACAGCCGTCGTGCAGGCGGATGGACGAAAGCCCGCCACCCGGCAGCTGGAGCCTGCTGGTCACGCGCAGGGAGCTCACGTTCCAGGCCAGGACCGTCCCGTCCGTGCTGCACGAATACACCTTGCTGAGGGTGCGAACACACGGGTGTAAAACACTTGACACGGAAGCCAACGAAGTTACCATTAGATAAAGGTCCACAGCGTGCACGGTGATTCTCACCCAAGCGAACGCTGCCCGTGTCGCGGGAACGATTAGCAAGGGGCTAACCGATCCCGCAGGAGAAGACGGTTTGCGGAGGAGGCCGGTCCTCGCCCGTCGGTGTTTGCTGCCGGCTCCGCAGACCCTAAGGTGGCGGCTGAGTGAAATCTCGCCCCTTACGCAGGACGTGCCGTCCCGGCCCCCTCCCCTCGTGATAGCGGCTGAGGTTCTGGGCGACACCTGCTGCTCTCTGAGCCGGGCCTGAGGACGGACGGCACCCCTGAAACTAAGGGACGGGGCAGCGGGGGCGGGCGGCACGGAGGACGGCAGCAGACAAGCTTCAGGGCCGTGGGCCCCGGGCCCAGGTGGTGAAGCAGGTGACAGTAAATGAGGACCTACTGTGTGCCGGGCCCTGTTCTAGGCACAGGACACACGGCAAAGAGCAGAACACGGGTGCCTGCCTTTGGGCTGACGTTCTTAGTACGGTAAAGACAAAGAATGAGTGAAGCAAAAGTGTTAGGAGTCGGACTGCACCCCCCAACCAAGGGCCACCACGAACCCCCAGGGCCTCAGAACGCGGCACTACTTGCAAACAGGGCCTCTACGGGAGTATTCAAGCGACAGTTAACAGGATGGGCCCTGATCCGCTCTGCCGGGCATCCTCAGCAGGGAGATTTGGACTCGGAAAACACCGTGTGAAGACAGACGGGATGCTGTGTCCGCAAGCCAAAGACTTGGGGCAGACCGGCAGCCGCCGAGGACAGGCGAGGAAGTGGCCGCCTGAGCCCCACGCTCACCCCGGAGCTGGCCCACAGCAGAGACCCGCGCCTCTGTACTCAAGGCCAGACACAGACGAGAACATCACGCGACTTTGCTCAGGACAGGCCGACCCAGTGCCGGGAGGCAGTCGCCACGGCGACCGCGGACCCTTCCCCCTAGGGACTCCCGGCCCTCCCCGCCCGGGAGCCAAGCGGCCCCTTCTCCCGGCAGGGCCCGGCCGTACCTGGGCGCCCCGCTCTGGACAGCGAAGCCCGTGACCCCGGAGCGGTGGTCCGTGAGCTGCTTGTTGCAGGACATGCTGTGGACGTTGATGATGTAGATGACGGAGTCCTCTGAGCCGACCCACACCTGGCTCTGCTCCGCCATCGCCATGCAGTTCTGACAGCGGTCAGAGAACGCGTCACGAATACTGGCCCCTCTCGTTACTCCCAGGAGCTCTGTCCTACCCACTCCCGGCAAGCCCCGAACCTCCGCCCCTGGGGGGGACCCGGGGTTCGGTTCCCATGAGCCCTGGCCACGTTTCTGTCTGCCGATCAGTACGTAAACTTGTTATGTGTTCAAAGTGCTTCTGTCTAGGGGCGCCTGGGTGGTGCAGTCGGTTAAGCGTCCGACTTCAGCCAGGTCACGATCTCGCGGTCCATGAGTTCGAGCCCCGCGTCAGGCTCTGGGCTGATGGTTCAGAGCCTGGAGCCTGTTTCCGATTCTGTGTCTCCCTCTCTCTCTGCCCCTCCCCCGTTCATGCTATGTCTCTCTCTGTCCCAAAAAAATTAAACGTTGAAAAAAAAATTTAAAAAAAAAAAACTAAATAAATAAATGTTAAAAAAAAATTTTTTTTTAAAAGACATCTGATTTTTTATCCGCTGCTGACTCATTAACACCGGACTCCTGGCCAAGTGCGCTTAAACTCGTGCTTGAGCACAGCTCGCCTAGTGCCTCACTCTCTCACGAAGGCCCGTCACGGCCTTCTCGGGCTTAGGGACACTGGACAGCACTCCAGCTCTACACCGGGGGCCATCTTAAGCAGCAAAAATCACCATTACAACATGAGAATGCAAAACCGTGGCACTAAATAGGCCGCCAAGAGGACCCTTGTGTCCAGCAGGGGCTGAAACAAGACACAGCATCCGCGGGTCTGGCCTCAGCTGGGAACGCACACCAACCTCCTTCCTTCCCCCACCCCGCACGTGTGCGTCTGCGGATAACCGTGAAGATACTGTATCTGTTTCAGGGTTAAAATAAACCCTAGCAAGCGGGTGAATCTGCAAACATGGAATGTGCAAATAATGAGGACTGACTAGACTAATCACAAACACAACTGCCCACGGTTTTCCGTTCTGTAGCGAGACAGGGTTCTCTGGGTTTCCGGCCTAGAAAAGTCAACAACCGATGGTAATTTAGAGATGTTTTTGTGTAACTTTGTTTTTTAAGTTTTTTTTAATTTAGTTTTGAGAGAGAGAGAGAGAGAGAGAGAGAGAGACGGTGCAAGTGGGGGAGGGGCAGAGCGAGAGGGAGACACAGAATCCAAAGCAGGCTCCAGGCTCCGAGCTGTCAGCACAGAGCCTGATGCGGGGCTCGAACCTGTAAACCGTGAGATCACGACCTGAGCCAAAGTCAGACGCTTAACCGACTGAGCCACCCGGATGCCCCTGTATAACTTATTTTAAAAAATGCTCATTTCTTTTTGAGAGGGGAAGGAGCAGAGGGAGATGGGGACAGAGGATTCGAAGTGGGCTCTGTGCTGACAGCAGAGACCAACGTGGGGCTCAAACTCATGAACCTTGAGATCGCGACCTGAGCTGAAGTCAGACGCTGAGCCCACCGAGCCACCCGGGTGCCCTGTTTTTGGAGACTTGGAAATTAGAAATTGAGGACTGACACACTGGAGAGACCCACAGGTCGCACAAACACGTGAAACAGAGCTGTGCTCATGCGAGCATCTCAACCCATCCAACCACGTCACTCAAAGGCGTTCCCGACGCCTTCCTGACTTGCAGTTTCCCGAGCCTCTTCACTTTCCACTTGAGGACGGTCTCTCCGGTGTTCATCCGTGACACGTGCGACCCTCTCCCGGCAACCGAACGCAGATTTCCAAATACAAGTAGGCTTCCAAGTAAACCTGGCATCGTGGTGGACGGGGTGAGACCAGATCTGACCCCAGGCACAGTGAGTGTGGACGGTGGTTCATTGCTCCTCCTCTTGAAGGCCGAAGAAAGAGTTTCTAAAAAACTGCTAGCTTTAATTTTACCGACAAATAGTCCCATAAACTAGAAAAGGAAGCCCGCTTACTAATTTCAGAAATAATCATTTGGAAAAAGCCCTTTCTTTTGAGGCATCTCCCTGAGAACTGGTATAATTTTAGTAAAATGTCTTTCTTTCGCGGCCCAAAGATACCTCAGGTGGCCTGCTCTGAACTGCAACGTCCAGAGGTGGGAGCACTTTCTTGAGATAATCACCCAAGTTTCTTTCTGTTCAACAGCAAAGAAGATCTCGGTGAGACGAGGACAGTGTTTTCACGTATGTAACTGGGAGAACTTACTGCTTTACTTGTTACCTGGCCTGACTGGGGACAGCAGAGATGGCCTCACAAGGCGGCCTTTCGATTTGATCGTAACTAGGATTTTAAGTTATTCTATTCCTTAAAAACTCTTTGAAACGCACATAACTAAGAATCACAATGAAAAAATTAAACTTAGAATAAAAACGGGGGTTCTCGGGATGCTCAGTTGGTTGCGTGTCTGACTCGATTTCGGCTCAGGTCATGACCCCAGGGTTGTGGGATCGAGCCCCGCACTGGGCTCTGCTGAAGATCCTCTTTCTCTCTCCCTCCCTCTGCCCCATCCCCCACTCACACATGCCTTGTCTCTCTCTCAAAAAAACCTAAAGACCTGCTATTGACAATACGGAGTGATGCTGTGGGATACCCTGTCCCACTGCCAGGCCCAGGTGGACTTCTCCGTCTTTGCAGAATTGCAGCTTCGTCTGGAAAAGTGCCGCCCTGCACAGTGCCCTGCTTACTCACCAGCTTAGAAGTGCCCACTCGGAAGCAGTGCTGGTGAATCGTCCAGGAGGAAGCGTCAAACACGATCACTTTGCCCTCACTTAGAGCACACCATAATTTGGGGTGAGCGTCTTCAACTTTTTCTGCCGGGTCTAGATGCCCTGAAGAAGTAAACAACCCAAAGACGTTTTCAAAGGGAAACCCTTGGATGCACGTGCACGTGACTGGTGCCATCACTCGGGCACCGGCGCTGCCTGAGTACCTGCCGAGGGCCAGGCCCACGCCGGGTGCCCCGGACAGGAAGAGAGCACGAGCTTTGGAGCCTGAAGTCTCGGGAGGGAGCCGGCTCCGCCCGGAGAGCCGCAGTCGGCAGGGCCGGGCATGGCCGCCGCTGAAGAAGGGGGTCCCAGGCAGGGGGCAGAGGAGCAGCAGGGGTGCGCCAGGCGTGGAAAGCGGGAAGGGGATGCGGCGTGGAGAGCCGGGACAGGAGCCGCTGCCTCCAGCCCCACATCCTCACCGGCACCCGGTGGGGCAGGCCCTCCGATGGCCGTTCTGAGGGCATGAAGCTTTTGGGTTTTTTTTTTTTTTTTTAATTTTTTTTTTTTTTCAACGTTTTTTATTTTTGGGACAGAGAAACAGAGCATGAACGGGGGAGGGGCAGAGAGAGAGGGAGACACAGAATCGGAAACAGGCTCCAGGCTCTGAGCCATCAGCCCAGAGCCCGACGCGGGGCTCGAACTCACGGACCGCGAGATCGTGACCTGGCTGAAGTCGGACGCTTAACCGACTGCGCCACCCAGGCGCCCCAGAAGCTTTTGGGTTTTTGACTGTCATGTCTTTGCATTTCCCTAACTGCTCATGAGGCTGCGGCCTTTAAGCGGCCACGTGGGGGCTGTCCTCCGTGGTGAGGTATTACCTCTCGCCCGTGTTGTAAAGATGTTTGAGAGCGAGGGAGTGAGCAAGCGTGTGTGTACGCAAGCAGGGGAGGGGCAGAGAGTGAGCAGAGCGAGGATCCCAAGCAGGCTTCTTGCTGTCAGAGCAGAGCCTGACGTGGGGCTCGATCCCACGACCCTGGGATCATGACCTGAGCTGAAGTCAAGCGTCGGGCGCGCAACCAACGGAGCCTCCTCCTTCCCCCCGGCGCCCCGGGTCTCTTGCCCGTCTCTGAGCTGGGTTGTGCTCCTCTCCCGGATGTGCAGCCACTCTGTGCCCACCCTTGACCCGAGCCCTTGCCAGCGCCCCTGCCACTCTGCGACCACCTGGTTCGCTCCCTCCAAAGTGTCTGTTTACAATTCCATCATCTCAGTAGCGAACTCCACCAGTCTCTTCCTTCACGGCTCGCGTGGACGTACAGTCTCCTTCTCTACCCCAAGGTCACGAACATGCTCTCCTCTGTTCTCTGCTAGAAGCTGGGTGCTGTCTTCATTTACGTTCGTCAGTGGCTTTCGCGCGTAGGTCTCCATCCACCTGGAACCGACCGTGTGATCTGTCGTGCGGTCAAGCCTCGTGTTTTCCATGTGATACACGACATCCCTGACGTCACATATGGTAAAGACAGTCCTTCCCTCAAACCCCTGCTCTGTCGTATCACCTCTGTCACACGTCAAGGAGACACGAATGTGTCACTCTTCCTGGGGTATTCGTTCCACTGGCCCCCTTGGGGAGATACCACCCTACACTGTTCAGTCTCACCAGGGACCGGGATGCCTCGAGGCCTGAGGCTGGCTCCTTAGCGCTTGGGTAACCAGAGGGGTCCGGAGCCACCGCTAAAGGGTTTACCAGTAGTCCCCTTCTCGACGGGTCCTGACCAGTTTTGTCCCTCCGGCCCCTCGGCACTGGCCACAGCTCTGCTCACTTCCTCGCTTCTGAGATGCCGCTTACAGAACTGGCAGTCGCTCCACAGGAAAAAGGGGCTCCGCCATTCTCCATGGTCATTTTGTGCTTTGGCCCTTCTAGATGTTCTGGGAGGGACGGCTGGTCTGAACCAGCTAGCCCGTCGTGACAGGAAGCCCACAGTCCAGTCGGTTCTGATTTACAGGAAACCGACTTAACTCTAAAAATACTCATTTATCCAGACACCACAGTAAAAATTGTCTCAGGCGCCTGGGTGGCTCAGTCGGCTGAGCGTCTGACTCTGGCTCCGGTCATGATCTCACGGTTCGTGGGTCCTGCATCAGGCTCTGTGCCGACAGCTCAGAGCCTGGAGCCTGGTTCAGATGCTGTGTCTCCCTCTCTCTCAAAAGTAAAGGAACATTTAAAAAACAAACCAAAAAAACCCATCCCACTGGTCTGCAGTGTTACAGCCAACACGGAGCCTCGACCGGATGAACCTGGTAAGTCTCCAGGGCCCCGAGGTCCAACCATGCTCTGTCCTCCTCCGCGCTCAGTGTGTCCCCTTGCTGGGTCTTCAGGACACCCGGTGACGAGATAAACTGTCCTCTCGTGCTGGGAAACTGCTTTGCCGCCGAGCTGCCATCTGCCCTCGGGAACCGGGTGGGCTGGGAGACAGCTGTGGAGCCATAACCGCAAAGGGCGAAGGGGACAGGGGGGCACATCCGTGATGTTCCCTGTCGCTCAGCTCACGCCACGACGAGCTGAAGCAAAGCGCCAGACCACAGGTTCTTTTCTGCCCAGGACGAAGTCCTTTGCTCTCCAACATGTTGCGCCCTCAGAGCGGCCCGCCCCACAGCGCTTTCCAAGTCAGACTTAAGCCAGAGCATTTTCGACGGTTGTGCGCCTGTGACACGACGGCGGTCTGTGTTCAGGCTGAGGCCCCTCGCGGCACTGATTCCCGTCCGTCCTCCGTTGCGCCTTGGCCGGGAGGTCTGCCGGACGCAGGGCCACAGCCTCGCCACGTGGAGGGGAACCGTGTTGTCGGGCATCCGGGCGGGCAAGGGAAACACGCCTGCAGTCTCTAACGCGAGACCCTGGGCGCAGTCCTTCATCACAGTGGAAGCAGGCCCAGGTTAAACGCCCCCAAAAGAAAGGACGTGAGTGGAGGCGCTTTCTAAACTGCAGAGTGCTGCGCCACGTGAGGCATGGCTAGGTGGGAGCGGAGTCTCCTTGGGGCGCTCGCCCCGGTGGGGCTGCCGTGGCTCCCTGGGGCCTGGCCTTCCCGAGGCGGAGGGCACAAGCAGCCGCCCGGCTTCGCCTCGTCGCCCAGGGCCTCACCCGAACAACGAGACCCCCGCCTGGTCCCCGCTCGCCCTGTCGCGTCCCGTCCCCCCACTTCAGGGCTGACCCCAAACGCAAACCAAGCTCCCCAAAGTGCCGGACACAGAGCAGCCCCGAGCGAGGGCAGGCCTCCTACCGGGCGTGTAGAGCAAGACGTCCACGGCGTGCGGCAGGGTCTCTCCCGCCGAAGGGTTTATCTTGTGCTTGAGGGTCTCCGAGGTCGTCTTGGGGACCGCCGCGGGCACTGAAACGCAAGCGCTCGGTTAGTGTCGCGACTCGGTGAGACCGCTGTCGTCCCACAGCCCAGACCCTCGGCGGTCTCTGGATGTCGGTTTTGGGGGAGGGCGTCGTAGGCGGGGAAACGGGCACTAGAGCCTCCGCCTCCGGGGGGCCCCTCGCTCTCGCGCTCGTCTGTGTGCCCGCCAGGGGCGGGACGGTGACACAGCTCCCCTCCCAGCCAGGAGGCCGCGCGATCTGGCCTCTGCCCACCCTCAGCCACCACGAGTCACCCAGCAGAGACCAGACCGAAAACATGGCTCGGCGACTGAACGTTCCCAAGACAAAACCAAGCGGCCTCTGGGCCTGGGCGCCGTGGACATCTCGGGCCGCAGCCGCGGCTGCCGTGGGGACCGGCCCGCACACCGCGGGCTCTCCGGCAGCATCGCCGGCCTCACCGGGAGATGCCGGTAGCGCCCCCTTCCAGGGGTGGGGTACAGGGCGTCGTGACGTGTAATTCCTAGACCCTCCGTCGTGAGGGGACCGCAGGCTCTTAACTGGAGCCCGGGATGGCTGCTTGCGCCTCATCGAGCTTTGCACAAGGGACCCCGAGCCCGGACAACCGGGTCACGGGGGACGGGCTGGCGCCGAGCGAGCTGGCACGTGCTGGGTGCCCCCGTGGCGACGGCGTGCCACCGTCTGTAAAGGAGTCAGAGGCTTTTGCGGAAACTCTTGACGAAGACTCGGCACGAGGTTGGAGTGACATAAACACCTGAAGCGTAGGGTTTGATTCTGTTCCCAATGAAAAACCACAACGAGCGACCACATCTGCTTCCAGTCACTCCTGCGGCTCTTGTGGGGACCAGAGCACCCCGACTGCTCCCGGGAAAGGGGGTCCGGGTCACTGAGGGGGTGGGGGCCGGGACACGAGGGGAGGGGGAGAGGGAGGAGGGGGGTTCTGGGACACAGGAGGGGAGGGAGAGGGGGGAGTTTCTGGGACATGAGGGGGGTTCCGGGGACACAGGGGACTTGTTTCTGGGACATGGGGGGATTGGGGAGAAGGGGGGACTTTCGGGGACAAGCAGGGGAGGAGGGGGGGTTTCCAGGACACAGGAGGGGGGAAGAGGGGGGAGTTCCCGGACACGGTGGGGAGAGGGGAATGTCCTGGGACACGGGGGTGGTTGGGTTGTTTCCGGGATGGAGGAGGGGGAAAGCGGGGTGGGGGGGGGTTCTGGGACATGGAGATTGGTTTCTGGAACCAGGAAGCATCAGAGATCTCACAGTGATGGACGTGGCAGAATAAAAGGTGCCAAAGTGAGATTTGTTTTTCCCGGTTTTGCAACATTTAAAAAGCAGTCTCGGGACGCCCGGGTGGCTCAGTCGGTTAAGTGCCGGAGTCTCGATTTCAGCTCAGGCCGTGATCTCACAGTTCTGAGACTGAGCCCTGCGTCAGGCTCTGTGCTGACAGCGTGGAGCCTGCTTGGGACCCTCTCTCCCCCTCTTTCCACCCCTCCTCTGCTCAGGTTCTGCCTCTCTCTCTCATGATAAACAAATTTTTAAAAAACAAACAAGAAATCCGGAGTCTCTAGCTTGTACACAGGGGATGGGACCACACATGCAAACGAAATCTGTACGTGAATGTTCACGACAGCAGCATTTGTAAGAGCTCGATGGTGCAGAAAACCCAGTCAGCTTGATCACAAATGAACACAGCGGTCCATCCAGAGTGGAATATTATTCAGCCACAAAAAGGAGGGAAATGCTGGCACCCGCTATGTGGATCCCCTCTGAAAACGCTGTGGTAAATGAGAGAAGCCACTCGTGAAAGGACACGTGTATGTGACGTGCCCGGGACAGGCGAATCCAGACAGAAGCACGTCAGTGGTGGCCCAGGGGCTGGTGGCTGCTAAATGTTACGGGGCTTCCTTTTGGGGTGCCGAAGACGTTCTAAAATTCACTGTGCCGAAGCTGGACCGTGAATACCGTGAAACCAGAGATGTGCGCTTCAAGTGAGTAAGGTACATAAGGTGCAGGGGTGCCTGGGGGGCTCAGCTGGTCGAGTGTCTGACTTTGGCTCCGGTCACGATCTTCCTCGCGTCGGGCTCTGTGCTGACGGCACGGAACCTGCTCGGGATTCTCTCTCCCTCCCTCTGTCTGCCTCTCTCCCCTGCTCACTCTCTGTCTCTCTCACCGTAAACTTAAAAACAAAAACAAAAACTGCACACAAACGGGACTAGAGATCATTTAAAAACATCCCTACTTTGTTCATCTGTTTTCATGAATTCTATGCTGTGGCTGACTTGGCCCGCGGCAACTATGCATGTAGTAAAGTGGTCAATTACAGTCTCTCCTTTATACAAATCACGAGGCCGTTCTAGGTCATTTAAAAGTTGAAACGAAACAGAAGTAACTCAAACGACAGTTATTCTTACCCACCAGCTGTTTCCTAGACTTGAAAAATCTACTCCCCACCCGTGACCCCCCAAAAACAGTCCACCACCACACCCTGAATGGCTTCCAGAAAGTGAGAGCCAGATTCACACCTACATACAGGTGATCAGAGACTTCCTACCTGGAGAAACTCACCAAATCAGGGGGACTTGGGGGAGCAGATCTGTACTCCTGGGGGCCTCTGGGCACCGGTCAGCAAAAGGGACCACGCGCTGGGGTGCCTACGGCTCCCCGGGGGCGTGTCCCCGACCACAGAGGATTCCGCCAGCCCCAGGAGCCACTCGAGGGCCTCCTGCTCCGCTCCACCCCACTCACCCGGCCGGTGCAACTAAGAACCGTGGCAATGCCCACCCGGTGTCCAGTGGAAGCCCGCTCAGGGAGCAAACTGGGAAGAGCCTCCGTGGGTCCCGCTAGGCAGGGAGCTCCCGGGTGAGCTGTTAAGCGACAGCGGGAAAGCAGGAGAACGTGTGGTGCTCAGAAGTAAACTCACAAGTTGCATGAGAGGACTGGGTGAGAAATTAGGCATCGGCCCTAACGTCAAGCAGGTAAGACTACTCAAGGCACGTTCAGGACCCCAGGACCCCAGGACCCCAGGACCCCGCCGGACGCACGCTGGTCTTACTTTCGTTCCGCATCTTATCGAAGTAAGACAACTTGGAGGCAGCGTAAATGGCACCAGGCGACTGCAGCGTGCCAACAACGGCGTCCATCAGCAAGACGTGGGTCAGCGCCTGCTGGATGTACTGAGGGTCCTGCAGAGAAACACGCTCACGTCAACGGTCACGGAAATCACTGACTTTGTGACGTTACGCAAGACGACACTTCTGAAGACGCGTTGTTGTTTCAAGGCGACGGGAACAGTTCGGATTCGGGTCTGATGTCGCACCCCTTTCTGCCTCTCAGGTGCGACAGACACTGCTCGTTTACCCCGGGGGCCGGCAATCGCCTGCCGTGAAGGGCCCGGCCGCTGTGGGCCTTCCAGCCTCTGTCACAACCACTTGGCTCGGTGCTGCAGCTGGAAAGCAGCCACAGGCTGTCGTAAACGAGTGGGTGTGGACGTACGCCCATAAAACCTTCCTCACAGAGACAGCCATGGCCCACGGGCTTCAGTTTGTACTGGCCTGTGCCAAATAAACCAGTGGGCATAAAATCAGACGGCTGGTCCCAAAGTCAGAGCGTTACAACCTCAGAACAGACCCGGCCCTCCTTCCTGCCGCAGACGGAAAGACTCCCTCCGTGTTCACGGTCTCGGCCCCCCCCCCCCCCCCCCCCCCCCGGTGCCTGGGAGCTTCTCTCACAGAGGGCAGCGCCCCCCTCATGGACGGTCTGCTCTAGGGGGGGCGCCCGCAGTCCCCGTGACGATCGTGGGCTGTGCCGCCCCCTGCGGCCCCTCCACGGCCCCGTTCATCTCTGCCCACTGCGTTGTGGTTTTCCTGTCCTTTCCTGCCATCTACGCAGCACAGACCTCTTGTCCCCGTGTGTCCTCCGTCTGTGCCTCTGTCTGTGCTGTTCTTCGTGACCCTGAAGTCCTACCTCAGTGTGAGCAAAGCTACCAATCTGGCCCAAAGTAAGCGAAAACACAAAACTCCCTGGACTATAAAGCTAAGTCTGCGGGAGTTGCGGGGGCGGGGGGGTTCCACGTGCCCTCTGCCAAGACCCTAGTCCTGAGAAGTGGCGGCGGGGGGGGGGGGGGGCGTCAGGAGCAAGGCGGGCCCGGAAGACCCGACTTGGACCTAGGTCCAGCCCCGGCCCCTCCAGGGCGGCCCCTCCACACTGCCAGTCGCCGGGTCACGCGAACCACAGCATCCGACCCAACCGGTGCTCCCGGGACCGCGCCTGAGCCCCTGGGCGTTAACACGGCCTTGCGAGGAGCAGGCGGCCCAGCCCCTGACCTTGTGGTCATCGGCCAGCTTCTTCCCAGCCCACATCTCCTTCACCATCAAGTGCCACACGTCACACTCCGTCTTAAGATTAGCTTCAAAGACTTCTTTCTTGGATGCCGTCTTAATCTTCAAAGTGGGTATTCGCAGAAGCAGAAAGGCTACTGTGGTACTTCTGACTTCCTAAGGAGGCAGAAAAAAGAAGAGGCTGGTCAGTGACATGTCCCCTCCCAGGAACGCTGGGGTCAGGGAGGGGAGCCGGTGGAGCGGACATTACAGAGTGGCGGCCGCAAGGTCCCTGCTGTCCTGTCCCTGCGCTCAGGGCTGAGGGCACCTGCCGGCTGAAGGTTGGCCTGGGGGCGGGGAGGGGGGCAGAGCTGGGACAGGGCAGGAGCGGAGCAGGGAGGCCCTGAGGTGACCGGAGGCTGGCGTCTGAGAGCTCGCGAGCCACAGGCGTGACCTGTCAGCACATCACACGTGCACGCGAAGGGACTCGTCTGCAGGTTCACACGTGGTCCGTTCTGCCTCCTTACGAGCTTCTCATTCCCTGCCATTCCGGGAGGAAGTCTGTGGAGGCAGGTGGCGGCTGGAGGACAGACAGAGGCGGGGCCCACGGCCGGCACCCACCACGGCTGCCTCTCCTGGTGCGGGACGTTTCGGGAGCGGGATCAACACGTGTCACGAGCCTCTCGAAAATACACGTGAGACGTCAGATGAGCGCCACGGAGCCTCCCCGTGGGGGAGGCGACCACCTTTACGACCAAGGGGCACTCACAGCTAGCAAACAGCAGGGGCTGGCGGGCCGCGCTCTCACCTCTATGTCCCTGAAGGTGGAGATCTCCACGTAGCCCGGCCTTCCTTCGGTTAGGAGGAACAGGCGCTTCTGGGTCATGGCGATCTTGCCCACGCCGCGATTTGTCTTGACCGAGCTCGACAGCTTGTAGACACACTCGTTCTTATCCAGGTGTTCCATCACCGACGAAGGCAGACTGACCTCCTGGGCCTCCGCCTCGGCCTCCTTCCAGCAGTTGTAGAAATCTTTGAATGTTTCCGGGTCAATCTGTTTCTGGTGTCCTTTGTTTGGTAAAGAAAAGAGATCTCAGGGCCACTCCGCGAAGGCGAGTGCGGCCAGGACTTTGACTTCCCCTTAAGAAGCCGTGCACTACCCACACCGGGCAGCAGGTGGCGCCGGAACGCAGGTCTCCGAGCCCCAGCGCCCTTGCTAAGGCGGCCCATCGCCCTCTCCAGCCCCCCAGCCCAGGGATGGGGTCTGCCAGGTGGTCACAGCAACTCTCGGGACGCCCTTCTTCGGGTGGCAAAGCCCCGGGTCACCACTAGAACTGGCGGCAGCTATCCCGGGGCCCGGAGGGAGCCGGTCCTCAGACAAAACAAACACAAAGAGACCGGGTCCTTGGTGATGTGCCCACACCACAGGATCAAGCCTGGCCTGAAGCAGCCCCATCTCAGTCACGTGAGCAAATACATTTGATGATTCGTAACCAAGATGAACTCAAGTGACGTAGTAACCTTTCTAAATGTCCACCGTTCACGGGCTCCAGAGGCAGAGAGAGACCCGAGTCTGGAGCCCAGCTCCGGGGGCTGGTGCTGTGACGCTAAGCTGTCAAAGGAGGGTGCTTGCTTCTCTGCAGGGTGGAAATGGGGCCCCCCACCCCCACTCCACCCCGGCTGCTAAGAGGCCGGGTCCGTTCTCATCCTGAGGTGTTCCTGGGGCTGTTCCTGCCCCGCTGCGTTCGGCCCCGGCGCCGCATCCTGGACCTGCACGTTCCCCTCTGCCCTCGCGCCCTGCAGAGGCACGAGCTGCCACAGGCCCTGCCTCCGGAGCTGCCCCCGGCCTCGCAGCCTGCTTCCCTGGGCGCCCAGCACGCCCTACGGCGCGAGGAGCAGCTCCGTGTCTCTTGTTCAAACACTCCGGCGTTCCTCGCCTACGCCAGGCCCCAAGTTCCTCCGGGCTTGGGCCCCTCCTCCCCTTCCCGCCCCCACGTTCCAGTCATACCCGCCCATTTCCCCAAACGGGCCCTGTCTGCACACGCTGCTCCAGGGTGCTCAGAACAGAAAACTCCTACGTGTGCTTCAAGACCCGGCTGAAACGTCTCACGCGCTCCCGTCCCTGAGAAGGCAGTCATTTGGCCGGGCAGCTGCCGGGCCGCACGCCCATCCCTCCACGGCAGGGCCGCGCTTAATGGCACTTGCCGTGTCCCACCTCCCGTTTTATCCTTCCGGCCACCTCGGGAGGCAGGCACTGGTCTCAGGCTGTTCACAAATCGGGAAACTGAGGCATGGGAGGAGAGCCCTCGCTGGCAGAGGTCAGCGTGGGGCCGGGACCCGTGGCCAGGCCGATGCCACCTGGCCTTGTGTGTTGGCCGCCGTGCCTCCTGCCGATGCCCCACTCGGGAGCGCAGAGAACGTGTCCTCCCTGGCCGGCCCCGCCGGGGGCCTGATCTGAAGTGGACAAAAGACGTGGGCAAGCGCGAGAGCCCCCGCACAACCATGTCCCTCTCCGGCTCCGTAACAGCGTCAGGGTGACGGTCCCTGGGGAATCTGAGATCACGGTGGATGGGGCGGGGGAGGGGCGGTCCAGGCCCCGGCACACGCTGAGAACTGCTGATGTCACCGGAACCGAGACCTGGAACGTCAGACCCTCACACCCCCGCGAGGTGCGGGCGCCGGAACATTCAGGAGACCAACGCCGCTGGGAGGCAGGGCTCTGCCCAGGCTGACTGTTCTTCCCTTTGCTCATCGCTATTTTCCGATCGGCCCACGAGGGTTGGTACCACTCACGTATGTGTTCAAAATCTTATAGCCACTGGATCCAGACAACAAGACAGCAGGGATCTGTACGTGCTCGTGTAATTTTCAAAAAAGACATCACTGAAGCAAACGAACCACAAGGTACCCACGTGTCCCCAGGCGGCCGGGGGCTGGAGGTCTCTGCCTGGGCCGTGGCTGCCGACCACGCAAAACTGCCCACGGTCCTGCTTCCGCTGCAGGCTCAGTGCGGCCGCCTCTGGGACACATGGGTCTACACTGCCCGCTGCTTCTGAGCACCATCATCAGACGCATTTGCTGTTCTCACTGCACGTCAGAAAACACTGAGTGCAAGCAGCTGAGCAAGGAACCCATTACTTTACGAAAGACTCCTGAACCTCGGGAGCCTGGGGCCAAGGGCCCTCTTCCTTCCATCACTCAGGACACATCTTCCTGCTGTCCGGGCCCCAGCCGAGTCGCTGAGCCACGCGGCGCAAAGTGCGCGTCACCAGAACCCGGAACGGCTTCCTCTCGCGGACAGACGTGGCGCCAGGGCTCCACGACAGACTCCGGAACCCCGACCGCCGGAGGGCGGAGAGCCCAGGCGGCTCCAACTCTCCTTGGACACCATGCCCTCCAGGGCCGTGGCACCACTGGACGCTCACACCCTGGCTGCCGCGCACATCTGTGAACTCCACGCACACCCACCGTGCACACCCCGGCCGCCACGAGCTCCCGTGGCTATTGCACGCGCCCACGCAACAGATCACGCGTTCTCTCTCTGTCTCCAGTTCCGCACAGAAGTGCCAACTGCTCACTCCTGTGCCCTCACCCACATGCATCTCCCGGTGGAGGCGGCCGCCGGAGCCCAAGCTCCCGCACAGCCGAGCTGAAGGCGGCACACATCAGCCTCCCTGCCCCGGGCCCCTCAGGAGCAGCTGCTGCGGTGTGGAAGTTACTGGTCTTGCAGTATGAACACCACACTGGAAACGTCTACTAAAGTTGAACGATAAAATAGTGACAATAACCTAAACAAAGTCTCAGATGTATCGTTACACTGCACGAGTTCATTCCAAGACAGCAACATCCAGCTCGGACTTAATAAAGCTTTTCTTGGGGCGCCTGGGTGGCTCAGTCGGTAGAGCATCTGACTTCAGCCAGGTCACGATCTCACGGTCCGTGAGTTCGAGCCCCGCGTCGGGCTCTGGGCTGATGGCTCAGAGCCTGGAGCCTGCTTCCGACTCTGTGTCTCCCTCTCTCTCTGCCCCTCCCCCGTTCATGCTCTGTCTCTCTCTGTCTCAAAAGAAATAAATTTAAAAAAAAAGTTAAAAAAAAAAATAATAAAAAAAAAATAAAATAAAAAAAATAAAGCTTTTCTTTTTTTTTTAACGTTTATTTTTATTTATTTATTTATTTATTTATTTATTTATTTATTTATTTACATTTATTTTTGAGACAGAGAGAGACAGAGCATGAACGGGAGAGGGGCAGAGACAGAGAGGGAGACACAGAATCGGAAGCAGGCTCTAGGCTCTGAGCCATCAGCCCAGAGCCCGACACGGGGCTCGAACTCATGGACCGTGAGATCGTGACCTGAGCTGAAGTCGGACGCTTAACCGACTGAGCCACCCAGGCACCCCAATAAGCTTTTCTAACGCATGGGTCGTTAAGCAAAAACACACGCTTAGTGCTGCCCCACAGTAACCTCACAGGACGGTTAAATGGGCTGTTTTGCCACGTGAATGGAACCAAGGTGACAACAGGGCCACCGACAACCCCCATCGGCGTGGCCCACATCTGCTGACACCCCCCCCCAGCCGTCCTCCGTATCCCTGCAGCATAAGTCTGGGAACACCAGACGCTCTCCACAAGTCCAGCCACCAGACCATGCTTCCCAGGCGGCTACGTGCAGGGACACGCTGCTGGCCAGAGGCGGTGACAGCTGGGGAGATGGACCCTCTTCCTCCCGCCGGGAGAACAGTGCTGCCCAGGCCATCGCTGTCACGTGCCGTGAAGCAACAAGGCCACGTGCAGGTGCTGCACGGTGACGTCGAGGAGCCGCCGGGCGCTCTGGACACCTCGCTCCCCGAGAGAAAGAGCCCCCAGTGGCTGTGCGCCCCTGTGTTCAGGCCTGGCAGCTGACCAGGCTGGCCCTGGCATCCTCGTGACGGCCCCGCAAAGGGAAGGGGCAGGGTGTCCCTGGAGAGGCGCTGAGTCACGGGGGCCCCCGAGCACTGCTGCTCAGGGCTCTCCGCGAGGACCTGTCTCCCCCGGTCACGGCTCACCGCCCCCCACCCCCCGGGTGGTCACCCTGCAGGTGTCTCCCGCGTGCCCAGCGAGATGGCTCCAATGTGCCTGCCCACGGAGGCCCCCCCACGAGACCAGGAGGAGAAGCTGCCGGGCCTGCGTGGGGGCGGGGGCCCGAGGTGCTCCCACACCGTGAGGGAACAAGGAGCGCCTGGTACGGAAACAGAGATGGAGAAAGAAGGCACCGGGATGGCTCCCTAGCGAACGCTCCTCTAGCCGGCAGAACATCTGAGTCTGACCCCGGTGCTGCCCGGGAGGTGGGAGGTGGGCGGTGGGGGTCTCGGGGGGTGCGGCCCGGGCTTCTCCACACACCCTGGGGAGACCCGTCCACAGCCACATCAGGAACCAGGCACGGTGACGCTCACCATGTCCGTATTTGGAAAAGTAAAACGACAGGATGCCACCCGATGGCTAGACAGACAAGGGCCCTGCGCTCTATTCCTGAGACACGGCCGCCGGGCACTCAAGTAACACGCGCACGCCAACACAGGAAAGTTCTGGAAAGTTCTGGAAACACGCTGCAGACCGACACAGCAGGACACAAGTCACCCGTCCTTGAAAACCACACAAAGCCCAGGTCCCGCTTTCAAATACGTGTGTTCCCAGTAAATACGTAAGAACGTGGTCAGACAGGGAGGCTCCGGCTGGGGACAGGTCCCTCTAAGGAGGGAAAGACAGAACGAACAGCTGCGGTCAGCGTGGATAAGGCAGCGCTCCCGGAAGGGGGGGACGATGCCACGCCGTCTGCGCCACCGGGTGTGCGTACAGGGTTCCCACTGACGGCAGAATCGCACACGGTGAGCGGTTCCCCGGGACGGGGGGACCCTGCGGGGGCGGCCGGCTCTCCAGTAACACTGCCCTACCCCCAAAGATCAGGGACAGGCCAGCCCCTCCTGGTCCTGTAGGTGCCCAGATGGGGAAGAGGCCTCACCCCACGGGGTCACAGCACTGTGAGCGGAGCGTCCTGGCGTGTTTAAATCCAGGCCGCGGCCGTCCTCTTACCTACAGTCAACGCCTCGAACAATCGGTTTATGATGTTGGTGTCCTTCACGATGCCCGACTCCTGGACCCTCTTCACGAAGTCGTCCAGCTGCATGTGCTTCTTCGGCAGCTCGAAGTTTTTCACGTGGTCGTCCGGCTTGGGGGCCTCCCCGGGCTTGTCCACGACCTCGCTGATGAGGCGTCGCAGCTCGGGCACCCGCTCGGCCTGGGCGCGCTCGGGCCCCGACATGGACTCCACCGTCCTCCGGACGAGATCGGCCGGGAAGATCCTTATGTCTGTCTTGTACAGACTCTGGAAATCCAAGAGGGCGTCCAGCAGCTGCCCCTGCATCAGGTGGACGGCCCCCCGGAGATAGAAGTACCTGGCCAGCAGCACGGAGTTGTCGGGGGCCAGCAGGCTCATGGCCTTGCTCAGCAGGCCCACGCAGTCGGAGAAGTAGGCCTGAACGCACTGGCTCACCAGCGGGAAGTGGATCTCCGGGACCTTGAAGGAACACGTCGCCTTGGGGGTCACGCTCGGAACTAGAGCGAAGAGAGAAGGAGCAGGTCATCAGCAGAGCCCGAAACAGTCGTGTCCCTGCCATCCTGTCCAGGTCGTTCCTGGGCCTCGGGTACAACATAAAGCAAGAACCCTCGTGCCTCTTCCAGAAAGCTCCACGTACCCCCGAGCCGAACGAGGGGCTCCCACTCTGCATCCACGGCACCCTGGGAACACGGAACACTTTCATCCGCTGAGACTTCAGCGCTAAGTCAAAGCTTTGGTAGAGAGTCTTTATCGGAGGGCCCGACTGACAACCTGAGCCAAGATGCACAGCCAGGCAGCACTAGGCCCCGTGCGACTGTTTCCTTTGCTTCGGTGGCAACTCTGTGCGATGGCCACCGTCCTCGCCCCCGTCTTACAGACGTGTAAGCTGAGGCCCCCCTTGTTCCAGGTACACAGCTGCTAAACGCCAGAGCCAGGCCTAATCCAGCTGTGTCTCACACCAGTTGCTTCACCGGATGTCACCTAAGGGCCTCACAGGTGGCACCGGGGCCGAGGCAAGGCCAGTCCCGCAGGGAGCCCGCTCACCCCGGGGAGGTGGGGTCTCGGCCACGAAGCCTGCAGGACGGGGAGGAGCCAGGAAGGGTAGGGGGGCTCCAGGTGAAGGTTCAGAGGCCGGAACGCCTTCCCGCAGCGGAGGGAGCACGGCCAGGGGTGAGAAGCGTCACCGGGTTTTCCACAGGAGGAACCACAGGCCCAGAGGGGTGACGTACCCTGCCCGCGCTCTCACAGCCAGGAAGCCACCGCGAGGGGACTCAGACCAGCAGGCGCCTCCGGAATGCTTCGCTGTCACTGAGGACTTTCCACTTAAACACACGCCCCCGCCCCCCCAACGCCAGCTGGGCATGTGGCACACGCATCGGGAGGGGCCGGCAGGGCCCCCGTGGCTCACGGCGCCTGGCCTCACCCAGCCTCTCCCGGAACCGCGTGGAGAGCGGCCCTGAGCGTGAAGAACCGAGGCGTACGTGGCACCTCCTTACGCGGAGTAAGACACGGGCTCGCACACGTGGCCTGTGGCAGCTTACACCCCGCCAAAAGCCCAGCTGACGCCGGGGGCCGTGCACGGCCTGCCTCAGAGACGGAGCCGCGGCCTCTCTCGGCACCGACGGGCTCTTGCTGTCCCTCCGCCCGGAACACGTCACCGGGGCGGCCCGGCCTCGCGAGCCGCTCCCGTCTCTGCTGGAACATGGCTTCCGCACCCGGGCCCCCTTCCCGTCCCCGACGCTGCTCCCTTCGTGCCGTGACGGCACGCGCCCCGATGTTACGCGTTCATCTGTTTTCCCAGGAGCCCCGCGCCACGGGGGTGGGGGCGCCGGGCCCCTCGCGTCCCCCGGATCTGGAGGGGGCGTGGCGCTCACCGGGGCCCAACAGGCACGACCGTCAGGCGTGCATATGTGTAAACGTGTATTCTGTACGCACACGCGTGTACGCGCACAGACACGCGGGCGAGCACGTACGTGGAAGTCCCCCAACTGTGTGGAACTGCCATGATAGCAATGCAACTGGGGAGCGGAAAATACAGGCAAGAAACCATCTTCCAGAATGAGTGCGGTTTGCAAAACAAATACTTCAAACAAGTAAACTGCTAAAAAACAAAAAACAAAAAACAAAAAAAAAACCCACCCACGAAACCCATCCCCTGCCACGGGGACAGGCTCCAGCTGTGTGCACAGACCTGCCACATCGGCCCCGGGGACGGGGGACTCATCACCACACGGGCCGGGTCACACCGTCGGCCCCAGGGACGGGGGACACATGACCGCGCGCCGGCCGGGTCACCACCTGTGCTGCTGCTCCTGGAGCCCTCGGAGTCCATCTTCCGGAGCGACGAGTTCCGGGCGGGCAGCTCGGGCACTGCGATGTCCCGCAGGTTGGGCATGCTGACCACCATGCGCCGGTGAGTGACGTGCAGGGACGACGAGTTTCGGGAGGCCATCTTCTCGATGGTCGGTCTTCGGGGACTCGGCAGCATCCTGCTTAACCTGCGGTTGGAAAAAGCAACCACGCCTTACGGACACGAGCGCGTCCGAAGAGTGGGTCTCCACGCCCGCCCATCTGCGGCGCGAGCGCGGCCCCGGCCCGGTATTCCTGCATGCACGTGGGAAGCGGTGGCAGCGTCTGAGTCTCCCCAGTGCAGTGAGAGGCGGGGGGACGGATGGGACCCCCAGAGAGACATAACACACGCGGTGTCTGCGGGGGGCCAGGAACAGCATGGGGTGGCGGCGACGCGGACCCCGAGGTGCACACGCGCATCAGCTGCGCTCGGCGTACTCCCCCCCCCCCCCCCCGCCGCCAAACAGAAGCGCGTGGGGACGTGCCCTACGTAAGTTTCTAAAGTGTGAGATTTTCCGGCCGAATTTATCGTTCATCTGCCCAAGTAACTGCACGCTGCTGGAGCATCCGGGTCCCCAGAGTCGTGCGCCCACACCAGAGACCGCACCTGTCCTCGTCCGACTGCGTGTCGAGGTCCATCTGGGCGAAGGCGTCCATTCTTCTGCTGAGCCGGGCTTTAAGGAAAGAGTGAAACATGTAGGTATCCAGAACCTGAAACAGACCACAGGGGGCCAGTCACCACCGTGATCGCGGCCCCCGCTGTGCCGCCGATGTGCTGGGGCAGCCTGCCCACCGGCGGGGGCCCCCGCCCTGGCTCCCTGGACACAAGCTCCTGAGCGGGTAGCTTTCTTCACTTGTGCCCACCTGCAAGGCTCACCCTCCAGATCCCCACGGGGCTGCCTGAAAGGATCGCCACTCTTTATGTTTGAAAAGTCACCAAAAGTTCAAAAACCCAACCATCTTCCTCTCACGACAGCAAGAGCCAGCGTCCTCTGGCCGTCGGTTCCAGGTCTCTGGGGACCGGGGCCCCCTCCCCACAGCAAGTGCACCGTCTGGCGCCGGCCCGTGGCTCCCACCACCCGGCTGCTGGTCTCTCACCGGACAAGGTGACCCTCCAGCAGCCAGTCCCTGTCCCCACCCTGCCCCCTGCTGTGGGTGACCGGCCCGCAGGTGACGAGGCTCAGGCCCATCGGCCACTGCCAGCCCGGCCGAGCAACAGGAGGGCCGCAGGCGCGCAGGCCCGTGGGGAAGGTGCCGGAAACCCCACATGCAAAAAGCCCACAGGAGAGTGACGGCAGGGAGCGGGCATGTGGAGGGATGGGAGGTGGCAGTGTGGCTCACAGGGACTCCTGCCACCCTCTGGGAGCCAACAGAGCGAGGAGGCGATGGCAGAGCGCTGGGCCCGGGCGCCCTGTCACAGCTGTGACCCGGCTTTGCTCTGGCCCCAAACACATCCCTGGCTTCTCCCTGTGCTCCTCTGTGGTGCCTTTCGCGAAGGAGTCTCATGCGGGCACCATCTTTTTTCTTTTAATCTTTTTTAAAAGTTTATTTATTTAGAGAGACAGAGAGAGAGACTGAGAATCCCAAGTAGGCTCCGTGCTGTCACCGCGGAGCCCGACGCGGGCCTCGACCTCACGATCCTGGACCAGGACCTGAACCGAGATCAAGAGTCAGAAGCTCCACCGACTGAACTGCCCAGGCGCCCCTCGCGTGGGCAGCGTCCTGTGGGCCCCTCAGGCCAGGCTCTGTGCCCCAGGGAGGGTGTGCAGAGGCTGCTGACAGCTGGGGTCCCCGCGGACGGGGGAGCACCGAGTGCCTCCGACAATCGTCAGAGCAGACACGGAGGGCGCGGGCAGGGCCCAGAGAGAGGCAGAGGCCGCCAGCCGGCCGACGTGAACAGCTACCGTGTGGACCTCAGTCACAAAAAGAGCCGAGGCTCGGGAACCAGGCTCGGGCGTCCCCTCCCGCCACAGGCTGGACGGCGAGCCGCTGAGAAAGGCAGCCTCGCTTCCTGCCTGGGGCTCTGGGCTGAGGCAGCCGGGAATCTCTACGGAGCCCGGAGTGGGGGGCAGCTCTGCAGAGAGTTCTGGAAGCCTGCGCAGGGGCCTGCCCTGGAGGGCAAAGCACAAGGAATTAGGCAAAGGAGGACCACGGAAGCTGAAGGGCCACGGGAGACCTGTGAGCCTGGAGCAGCCTGAGCGTGGGCCCCTCCGTGGCCGGGGCACCAGCACCTGGCGGGGGAGGGACACCAGCCCCGGGAGAAGGCCGCCCCCACCCACCTGGAAAGTGGGAGAACACCAAGGTCAGCTCCAGTTGTGCCACCGGCCACAACGAACCCCAAATACGACGCTGCGTAATAGGCAAGAACGGAGGCGCCCCCAAAAGCTTAACAGGTGGGCAGAAAACCCCGGTGCTGCCTCCCACCCCCCACCCCAGCTGCAGCAGCCCCTCGGATCGGAGCCGTCGGGCGACAGAGAGGTCTCGATCCGGACCGAGGAAGCGGTGTCCGGGCACACGTGTCTGTCGGGATTTATCACCCTCTCTCTACACTTACACGGGGTGCATTTCACGACAGGTAAACTGCACTCCAAAAAGCGGATTAAGAAAGAGATGGCCACAGGGAAACCACGGTAAAGCAAGCTTCCTGTAAAAACTATCAATAAAATACTCACAGACGCTTTTGAGAAAACGTATTTTGAAAAATGTTCTGAGTAGAGAGAGGCCCCCAAGCCCCATGTGCTCCTTACCTGCTTGTAGAACTGCTGGTCCCCAGGAGCTCTGGTTTTGAGAAACTCCTCGCTGTTGAACACTCTGTGCTCATAATTTAAGTGATTCTTCACCTCCCTGAGAAAGAGAAGGTGGTCTGAGCGTGGAAACGCTTTTAAATGCGTGGAAAAGTCGTCACTACTGGGGCACCTGGGTGGCTCAGTCGCTTAAGCGTCCGACTTCAGCTCAGGTCACGATCGCGAGGTCTGTGCGTTCGAGCCCCACATCCGGCTCTGTGCCGACAGCTCAGAGGCTGGAGACTCATTCGGATTCGGTGTCTCCCTCTCGCTCTCTGCCCCTCCCCCGCTCACGCTCTGTGTCTCTCTCAAAAATAAACATTAAAAAAATTTTTTTTAGGTTATCCCTATTACACAACACACAAAATGACCAGAGATGCATCCTGTGCAAGCTCTGTCCTGTAGAAAGAGGGTTCTGGCCCCCAGAAGGGCTGGGCTTGGGTGTGTCCGCTACTCCAGCTGTCCATCACTTCCAGCACGGCTTCTCTCTGCATGGAGGGACCCTCACTGTTCTCGCCCCCTTGGGGCCCCCTGTTCCCTATGCAGACGGCACGGCCACCGGTACCTGCCGTGGACCCTGAGGGGGAGGCCCAAGGAGGGCGGGCAGACTCTCTGAGCACCAACACCCACGACCTCCCCCAGCTAAAGTAACCGCCTACCCATGGGATCAATGCTCTCACAGGCCGTATTCCGTATGTAGGACACTCAATGCTCTCCTTCCGTGGTGAGGGAAAAGTCACATAAGAGAAATAAAGTCTGATCATCCGTATCCAAATTGTCTGCTTTTTTATGAATCCATCAAGATTGTAAAGTGTCAAAAAAAAAAAAAAAAAAACCTTGCTCATGACATATTTCGTTTTAAAAGAACAAAAGGAGGGGCTCCTGGGGGGCTCAGTCGGTTAAGCATCTCACTTGGACTCAGGTCATAATCTCACAGTTTGTGGGTTCGAGCCCCACGTCGGGCTCTGTGCCGACAGAGTGGAACCTGCTTGGGATTCTCTCTCCCTCTGTCTCTGCCCCTCCCTGACTTGTACTTTCTCTCTCAAAAAACTTAAAGAATTTTTTTTTAATCTAGAAAAAATATAAAAGAACAAAAGGAAAATAATGTATTTGTGTGCACACAAATTACACTGCTTTGAGCAGAGATAACACAACCTGTCTACAATACGCTGTCCCGTTTTTTCCCAACAAGTTCTGTGTCTTATGGAAATATATGCATTTGAAGAACACAACCATTAAATAACAATCACAGAGCACAGTCAAGGCAGCAGGCTCTGGCCTAAACCCCTCCCGGGTGGAGGGTCCATCTGGACGCCTCTGCTCCTGCAGGGCTGGGGACAAAGCTAGCGACAGATCCTGAGTGCCTGTGCCCGGGGGGTGGGCTTCGTTCCTGCAGTGACCCAAGTGTCCCCACCCCGGGCTGGCCCCGAGCCCTCAGCCAGCACAACCCCGCACGGGCGGTCATGGTCCCCGGGAAAAAACAGGCCTGCTGACCCTGCCGGGGTGTGATCACGCCGTAGGGCCACCGGGGCGGGGCCCGATCCCGATTCTGCCGCCTCCCACACGGAGGGAGAGCTGGTGGCACCCCCCCTACAGACACGGGAGGGGTCCCACTACCTGAAGATGCTGACGAGCAGCTGTAGGGCCACCTGCTGCAGCTGGTAGTTGAGTCCCTGCTGCCAGGCCCGCCTGCGGGCGCGCCCCTCGTTCAGGTCTGTGCTGGCGCCCAGGTGGGCGAGGTCCAGGTCGTGGTGCAGCTGAAGGCTCTGGACCCTGGGAAGGAGCAGAGGGACGCTGAGCACAGCTCACACTCCTCGTGGGCAGGGGCGGGGGGGGACACTCAAGGAAGGGGGTTTACCCTCCCCCCCAGGTGCACCAACACCCTTCGGATGCTCAGAAGAGCCGGCAGTAACTTCGGGGAGGGATCACTAAAAATACACCCCCGGAGAGCTCACTCACCTCTGCACACAAGCAGCTCATTGTTCAGACGCCACGGAGGCCCTGACTGTGCACACTGTCAACCCAAGCCGGAGCCTCCCCTCCCCCGGCCCCGCCTGCCAGGGGCACCAGCTCCCCAGCCCCACACCTTCCCCGCGCCCGGCCTGGGGGGATCGGTGCACCAGGGTCCTGGGTGTCACCGCTCTCGGCCCGTGGGCCATCAGCACATTCACAACCCCGGCCTCCCCAGCACCGTCAAGGCCGCAGCGCTGGAAACCAGCGGGCAAATCTGCGGTTTGCACACAAAATGAACACGTGCCCAATGCACGTCCCCCCGCCACTTCCTTCCTGAGCGCCTCCTGCGTGCCGGGCTGCGTGCTGACCACAGACAAAGCTCCAGGGTGGGGCTGGCATTCGAGTGGGAAGAAACAGAAAAACAGAAGAATGCACCCCAGATGTGAGGTCACGGGAGGTCAGGGAGGTGAGGAGAGGGATCAGAGAACGAAGGCTCGAAAACAGCCCGTTTGGTGTTTGGAGAAGAGCGCTCGAGGACCCCGGACCTGAAAGCTGAAAGGCGAAAAGCCAGACAGGCACGAGCAGCCCTGAACGGGTGGGGAGCACCCAACCCCTGGAGGCCCCACAGGAGCCCGTGGGGCTGAGGCAGGGGCGGGGCGGGCTGAGACCAGGTCTGAGCGGTCAGCAGGGCCGGGGCGGCTCGGGGAGCACCCTGGGTCCGCCCCGAGAGCGATGAGAAGCCGCCGCTGGAGACGGACGTCCCGGCCCCGCAAACCCCGGCTGACCGGTCAGGTAACCACCACCTGGAAGGTGTCGGCACCTTCACACACGTGCCAGCGACCACACGCGACTCGGCCCCCGTTACGAGGCAGTCTCCCCTGGCTGAGGCCACAGGAGACACCGCACTCCACCACTGTGGGGTCTGGCCAAGCAGAAGGCCACCCGCTGCGTGTATTCTAGAATTCCGACACCACCACATGCCACACGGCTGAGGGCGAGAACCCCATCCCACTGGGGGGTGCTCCACCCCAGCGTACACTGGAGACACGGCACCAGGCCCTGGCGCCCATCCCTGCTAAAATGTCCGACTCGGATGATCAGGCAAAAGTGAACGATTAGAAACGTTCATCAGTACACAAATCCGGCCTCGTGTGGGGCATCCCAGGGGTGCCGAATACCTATCTGCTGGGGGAGGGAGGGAAGGGAGGAGGGAAGGAGGGAAGGGAGGAGGAGGGGAGGAGGGAAGGGAG